CCATGGATACTGTGTATGCTTCCATTTATTTGCATCTTCTTCAATTTCTTTCTTCAATGTCTTATAGTTTTCTGAGTACAGGTCCTTTGATGCAATTGTACTTAAATGGGGTTGTTTTCTTTTTCTTTTTACTTAAAGGTTTTGTAGTTTATTAATCCTCTCATGGGAAATCTGCAGTCATCACAGATCAAGTCGCTGGAGAACCTTTACTCGTGTTGTCCAGTCTCCAGCCCACTGTTTGCAGCACCAACACTGGCCGTTGCAGTCCCCCTGGCCTTCCTCATTCTGTCCTTGCATTCCTTTTGCTGTTTTCTTGAGGTCTTCTTCTCAGACAGGCCATGACTACATATCTATGGTTGGGTTCATTTCTCTTTGCATAACTGAAGGAATCATAAATCATGGCAAAGCCAGTTGTCTTGCCAACACCAAAGTGGTTTCTGAATCCAAATACAAAGATGGCATCAGGTGTGGGCTTGTGCATTTTGGCTAGTTTTCCCATCTTTCTCTCTTAGGTACTATTGCATGCCCCGGCTGAAGGATGTCAATGAGCATTTGTTTCTGTTCAATAGCCTGTTGGTTATGAACTTCCAGGTCTGGATAGTTGGTATGTTGTTCATGAGAGTGGCCAATCTTTAAGCAGCCAAGGAGAAAAAGAGGGAGATTATGTTCTTAATTTCTTTTTCTGATAATTCATAATTGGTGATTAAAATGCAACCAATATCCAAATATTAATTTTTTACCCTGCTACTTTACTGAATTCATTTATCAGTTCTTGTAGTCTTTTGGTAGAATCTTTAGGGGTCTCTATGTATAATATCATGCCATCTGCAAATAATGCGTTTTACTTTTGCCTTTCTAATTTGAATGCCTTTTCTTTATTTTTCTTGTCTGATTGCTAAGTCTAGGACATCCTCCATTATATTGAATAAAAGTGTTGAAAGTGGGCAATTTATTCTTTTTCCTGATCTTAAGGAAAATGTCTTTAGCTTTTCATCATTGCACAGGATGTTGGCTGTGGGTTTGTCACTTATGACCTTTATTATGGTGAGGTATGTTTTCTCTCTTCCTACTTTGATAAGAGTTTTTATCATAAATGGATGGGTTTTGTCATATGCTATTTCTGCAACTATTGTTATGGTCATATGGTTATTATGCTTTGTTTTATGTATGTGGTGTATTATGCTAATTGATTTGTGGATATTAAGCCAACCTTGCATCCCAGGAATAAATCCTACTTGATCATGGTGTATAATCTTTTTAGTGTATTTCTGAATTCAATTTGTTGTGGGTTTTTTGTTTTGTTTTTTAGGATTTTTGCATCTCTATTCATCAGGAATATTGGCGTATACTTTTCTCTACTTTTTTTTTGTATGTCTTTGTCTGGCTTTAAAATTAGGGTAATGCTGGGTTCATAAAATGAGTTTGGGAGCCTTCCCCCCTCTTCAATTTTTGGAATAGTTTGAGAAGAATAAGTGTTACTTTTATTTGTTGGGAGTTTATTATTATTATTATTATTATTATTATTACTGATTCAATTTCATATGTTCTTGAGTGTTCTATTATTATTATTATTACTGATTCAATTTCATATGTTCTTGAGTGTTCTAGTTATATTCTAGTTATTTCTTCCTTCCTTCCTTCCTTCCTTCCTTCCTTCCTTCCTTCCTTCCTTCCTTCCTTCCTTCCTTCCTTCCTTTCTTTCTTTCTTTCTTTCTTTCTTTCTTTCTTTCTTTCTTTCTTCTTTCCCCTTACCTGAGGATATTTTTCCACTGACTTTTAGAGAGGGTGGAAGGGATTGGGAGAGACACACAGAGAGAAACATTAATGTGAAAGAGAGACACATTGATTGGTTGTTTCCCACATATGCCCCTGCCAGGGCCGGGGAATCAAATCTACAAGCAAGGTATGTGCCATTGACCGGAATTGAACCCAGGACCTTCGGTCCACAGGCCGACACTCTATCCACCAGCTAGGGCCAGATTGTGTGTTTCTAGGAATTGATCTATTTCTTCTTCTTCTTTTTTTAATTGATTTTTTAAAATTTTGTTTTATTGCTTAAAGTATTACAGAGTATTACATATGTCTCCTTTTGATCTATTTCTTCTTGATTGTCTAGTTCAGTGGTTCTCAACCTTCCTAATGCCATGACCCTCATGTTGTGGTGACCTCCAAGTTCATTGTTACAAATTGAACATAATTAAAGCATAGTGATTAATCACAAAAACAATATGTTATTATATATGTGTTTTCCGATGGTCTTAGGCAACCCCATTGAAAGGGTCGTTTGACCCCCAAAGGGGTCGCAACCCACAGGTTGAGAGCCGCTGGTCTAGTTTGTCGGCATTTAATTGTTTGTAGAATTTTCCTATAGTTTTTTGTATTTCTGTGGTGTTGTTACTACTCCTCTTTCATTTCTGATTTTGTTTATTTGGTTTCTCTCTTTTTTTCTTGATGAGTCTGGTTCAATAAATATCAATCTTGTTTATCTTTTAAAAGAACTAGCTCTTGGTTTCATTGATCTTTCTTTAACAATTTTTAAAAATATGTATTTTTACCCATTTCAGAGAGGAAGGGGGAGGGAGAGAGAGATAGAAACATCAATGATGAGAGAGAATCATTGTTCAGCTGCCTCCTGAAAAATGGGGATCAAGCCCACAACCTGGGCATGTGCCCTGACCAGGAATCACACCATGACCTCCTGGTTCATAAGTAGATGCCCAACCACTAGGCAACACTGGCCAGGCTCATTGATCTTTTGTATTGTTCTTTAGATCTGTTTTCTTTATTTCCACTCTGACCTTTATTCTCTCTTTTCTCCTACTCACTTTGGCTTTGTTTGTTATTATTTTTCTAGTTCCTGTAGGTGGAAGGTTACATGGTTTATTTGAGATGTTTCTTATTTCTTAAGGTAAGCCTGTATTGCTATGACTTTCCCTCTTAGAACTGCTTTGGCTGTGTCCCATAAGTTTTGAGTTATTTTGTTTTCATTTTCATTTGTTTCAAGGTATCTTTTGATTTTTTCCTTGATCTTGTTGTTTACATATTTATTGTTTAGTAGCATGCTATTTGGCCTCAATGTGTTTTTCAGTTTTGTTATTGATTTCTCGTTTCATATCATTGTGATTGGAAAAGATACTTAATCTGATTTTGATCTTCTCAAATTTGTTGAGACATATTTTGTGACCTAACATGTGTCTAGTCTGAAAAAGTTTGCACTTGAAAATAATTTATTTATAATCTACTACTTTGGCATGAAATGTTCTAATAATATCAATTAAATCCACCAGGTCTAATGTGTTATTTAAGGCCACTCTTTCCTTCTTAATTTTCTGTCCATAGACATCGACGGGTGTTAAAGTCCCCTGCCATTACTGTCTTACTCTTTGTGTCCACCAACATTTGTTTTATGTATTTAGGTGTTCTTACGGTGGGTGCCTAAATATTTACAAGGGTTATATCTTCTTGTTGGGTTGATACCATTATCATTATAAAATCTCTGTCTTCATCTCTTGTTATTGCCTTTGTTTTAAAGTCTATTTTGTCTAATATAAGTATTGCTACCCCGTCCTTTTTTCTATTTTCATAAAAAATATTTTTTATCCCTCTACTTTCAGTCTGTGAGTGTCTTTTAATCTGAAGTGGGTCTCTTGTAGGCGACAAATGTATTAGGTTTGTTTTCTGATCTAGTTAGCCCCATGATGTCTTTTGATTGGAGCATTTATTTCACCAACATTTAAAGTAATTATTGACAGGTATCTACTTATTGTCACTTTATTATTCATTTTTAAAATTTTTCTTCTTAAATTAATTTTTAACTTTTTTTTGTAACACTGACTTAGTGATGGTAAAGTTCTTTAGCTTTTTCTTGTCCAGAATAAATAGTCATTTTCCTTGCGTTTATAAGGGAGGTTGTTTGGCTGCTCCTGCACTAGAAAGCTATGTGCATGGAAAACTTTATTACAGCAAAGAATAGAAATGATTTCCAAACAATAGCTATATGTTTAAGCAAATTATGGTATGTCCATAGAATGGAATATTAGGTAGCCATTAAAAATTATATGTGCAAGCATAGCTAAATATTTTTTTAAAAATATTTTTATTGATTTCAGAGAGAAAGTGAGAGAGAGATAGAAACATCAATGATGAGAGAGAATCATGGATCAGCTGCCTCCTGCATGCCCCACACTGGGGATCAAGCCTACTACCTGGGCATGTGCCCTGACTAGGAATCAAACCGTGACCTCCTGCTTCATAGGTTGATGTTCAACCACTGGGCCACGGTGGCCGGGCCACAAGGAAATATTTTTAATGCTCCTTAATGGTCTAGGAGAAATATGTGTGATGCTTACTAGAGAACTCATGGCAATAATAGAGACAGACCAGTGTTTATCAATGAGAACAAGAAGCATAAAAACAGCCATACTAGATACAAAAAATATCAATTACAGTTGCTTCTCAGCAGAGTGGTTTTCCTGCTACTGTATGCTTTTTTCTGTACCAGAAGTTTTCTTTATTCTGCACATATTTAACTTTTAGTACAAAAGGAAAAAGATGAACAAGACAAGCAATGGAAGTGGAGGGTGGGGAGAAACAGGACTGCCCGCTGTCTGCCTGGCATGACTAAGATGGCGTTACCCTGGGGGCGAGCATGTGGGAGGACTTTAGGTGCCAGGCTGGTCGATCTTTGCTCACCCACTAAAGCGCTATAATAGCTTCTGTCTGCGGGAGCGCCACAGACCCCATTCTGGTCTGGCAAGTTCTAATCCTCTGCCGCTTTGTGACCCTGGGCCAGGCAGCCTCCGGGTGCCCCGGTTATCAGCCTTTGGAGGAAATGTCTGACGACCTTTCTAGGAAACAGGATAAGCAGGAGATCCCCGTCATGGGGAAGTGGGTGTTCTTTCTAAAAATAAAGATAAGCTTCTCTCAACATCCTGTTTTTCCTCTAACCTTCAGTCTCTTCCAATCCTGCTGATAACTAATATTTGTTTTATCTCTTCCAGGAAATGATCGAAACAGCCTAGATTTCAACAGGCAGGTAAGAACTTTCAAAACAAAACCTTTATTCAATTAATTTGGGGGGTCATTTGCACTATGCCAGATGTGGGAGAAACCAAAAAGATTAAGTGCTTATTCAAGGACCCTACATTTGCCGATTGGAAGGGGCATTTAAAGGGCTTCTGCCTCCAACCCACCATCCAACACCTGGGTCTCCTTTCACTCTCCCCTCAAAAGAGCACTACAGCGCAGCCCCTCTTAGAAGGACTGCAGCCAGATGTGGTCCAGAATCTAGACAGCAGCTCCTTCGTCAACGCTCACCCGCGTCGCCTCCTGGCCCCATTGGTTTACGCCGTCCGACCGTGTGTAGAGGAATTTACGGAGGTCCAAGTGTGCAGTGCCTGCATTCCTCGTGGAATTCCTGATTTGCAGGAAGTAGATAGTGGACAAAAAGGAGAAACGGCACAGAAAGAGCTCAGAGGGAGGGAGTGGCCATGCTCAGTGGAACAGTGTAGGCGCAGGCCTGGTGCCTTTGCAGGAAATCGAGTTGGTGGGTTGGAGTTAGTCAGGGAGGGACTTGGGTGGGGTCAGGCAGCGCTGGATGGATCACAGGGTGGATGGATGTGGATGTGTGAAGAGAAGGGAGGCGGGGTTGGCGGCTGTGGGAAGCCGGGCTGCGGCTGGGACGGGGATGTGGCAGGAGCTTGTTGGGAGGAGGTCTAAGCTGAGACAAGCAGGAGCAGCGCTGGGGGGTCCCGGAGTGAGTCCGAGAGAGGAGGCAAGGCTCGGGCGCAAAATCAGAAGCCTGGCTTTGGTCCTGTCCCTGCCACTAACCAGCTAGATCACCTGGGTCAGGTCTCGTCATGGTTTTGATCTGAATTCTCAGCTGCAGAATAAATTTATTTCATAAACTCGGGGTGGGGCTTGGGGGGATGTGCTATGTCAGGTGTAGGAATACAAAGAAAATTAAGATATGGTTTCTGCCCTGGAGGAGTCCACAGTCCAGCATGGAGTGTGGGGGGTAGAGATAGAAGGAGAATGAGAGGGAAAGGGAAGGAGGGAGGGAGCAGGGAACAGAGAACTAGAGACTCTTTTTCATTTTTAAGTATTTCAATTGTATGGTTTTTTTAAATTGATTTTTAAAGAGAGAGGAAGGGAGAGGGAGAGAGAGATAGAAACATTGATGAGAGGGAAACATCATCCATCGGCTGCCTCCTGCACGCCCCCCACTGGGGATCAAGCCCACAACCCTGGCATGTGCCCTGACTGGGAATCAAACCAGCGACCTCTTGGTTCACAGGCCGACACTCAACCACTGAACCACACCAGCTGGGTGAGATAGAGACTCTTGAGTGAATACTTATAGTACAGTCTCATGCTTACTACAGATATGTAAAAAGCATGGTGTCATCCAGCTGGTATGGCTCAGTGGTTGAGTGTCGACCTATGAAACAGGAGGTTTGATTCCCAGTCAGGGCACATGCCCGGGTTGCAGGCTTGATCCCCAGTGTGGGGCACGCAGGAGGCAACCGATCAGTGATTCTCTCTCATCACTGATGTTTCTATCTCTCCCTCTCCCTCCCTTCCTCTCTGAAATCAACACACACACACACACACACACACACACACACACACACACGCACACACATTTAAAAAGCATGGTGTCAAACAGAAATGGGAATCTCAGGGCAGGCTTCGTGGAGAAGGAATATTTGTGTCACGCTCTGAAGGGTGAGTAGGCATTTGTTAGGCAGAAAAAAGTAGACTGGAGAGGGGGTGTCCGTGGGGAAGGGAAGGTGGCCCCCAGGCGGTCATGCATTGGGTGGCCACTGGGGTCTCTTCCCTCGCTGAACATCTGAGTCCAGGTTTAGACGGAAGCCTGGGGTGGGGCGGGAGATGACATGCAGACTTGTTTTCCTCCTTCATCTGTAGAGGGATTTGATGTCACTGCTAACGTTTCCTGAAAGACTTTTCACTCTGGGTGTGTCCCTCACAGTCGGAGAGGAATGAGCCTGAGTCCCGAGCCAGAACCTCTCCTGGAGGCAACTTCTGCAATTGCTTTCATTGGGGACTTTTGCTGAGGAGCGGAGGCCAGCCCCTCCCTCTTCACTTGAGACCTGAAACAGAGAGACTTCACTGGGGCCCTCTGGGCAGGCGATGAGGAAGCACCCGCAGCCAGGCCGCTCAGTAAACATTGGAACAGCTACCAGGGAGGGAGGCTGGGACACTGCCTGCGGGTCTGGCTGATAGCACTGGGCTTCTCACTCACGTCTTTAAATAGGAGACAGATTCTTATCTAAGGGATAGCTGGGCCAGGTCTTCTTCCATCCCCGGGTTCTGTGGTCCTGCCTGAGTCCTACGCAGAGGAGATGGGGCCTGTGCCCCGAGCTTCCTGCCCTGCGACTGAGGATCCAGCCCCCGGCCTTTGGGTGAGATGCACAGGGGGGAGCCCAACCCACACCAAGATGTGGCCCCCCCAACCCAGCCCAGGGGTGGCCCACGTCATAGGCCCCGTGGGGTTGGCTGCAAGTGCAATCTTTCTTGAGAAACCCTCACGCTCTGGACATGGCTGGGGCAGCCCCTCGGCCCGGGATAGCCACAGAGAGGTCCCTGGCCTTTGGACATCTTTTGGGGTGTGGTCTCTCCCCCAATTGGGAGAAAGTTTCCTGGCTGCTGCCAGGATGGGGCTTTCCTAGAGAGAACTTGCCACCCCCCCCCCCCCGCCCCAAGGGCTTTGGACTCCTGTCACTGACGGGAACAGACATGACCGGTTTCTGTAAAGAGGGGATTTGGGAGGGGCAGAGGCTCCGCCGTGCTGACTTGCACACAGAACAGAGCTCTTCCCTGTTGGTCACCACATACGTCCCACCCTGGGCAGGCTCCTCCGAGCTCCCTCTCCCTCATCCCTCAGGTGCCCCCAGATGCTGACACCCCGCCAACACGCATGCCAGCTCAGTTTGCGGGCCCGCAGGTCGGCGCCTGGGGATTCTCAGGCCACGGCTTTGACAAAACCAGCGCTTTGCTGAAGCGCAGGCTCCGGGCAGGCTGCTTTCGGGCTTCACCCTCACTGCCCTCACCCCTTTACCCGGGTGAGGGCACTGCCCCAGGCAGCCCGCCTTTTCTGGTGAAAGATTGAAGGTTAAGCAATTGGCTGAAGGGCACACAATTGGCCGGCTGGCAGTCAGGACCAGAACCCTCATCTCATTTTCCCCACTTTTCCCACAAAACCTGGCTGGGTCTTCCTCTCCCTGTCCCTGTCCCTACACCAGCTTTAGGGAGAGGCTGAGCGTGACCTCACAGTGACTGCCTGGGAGGCAATGGGAGGAGGAGGGAGTGGGGAGAAGGAAAAGAGGTTGTGTAGGAACAGCCTGAGTGTTAGCAGACACAGGAGAGCAAACGATGAGCCGCTGCCCTGGGTGAAGCCTGGCTGAGGCCCCAGCGAGCTGGTGTGACTGGGAGCCAGTGTGACTGGGAGCTGGTGTGACTGGGAGTTGATGGGGCCGGTAGCTGGTGTGTCTGGGAGTTTGGGACTGGGAACTGGTGTGACTGGGAGTTGGTGTGACTGGGAGCTGGTGTGACTGGGAGCTGGTGTGACTGGGAGTTGGTGGGGCCAGTAGCTGGTGGGACTGGGAGTTGGTGTGACTGGGAGTTTGGGACTAGGAGCTGGTGTGACTGAGAGCTGGTGTGACTAGGAGCTGGTGGGACTGGTGGAACTGGGAGTTGGTAGGACTGGGAGCTGGTGTGACTGGGAGTTAGTGTGACTGAGAGTTGGTGTGACTGGGAGTTAGTGTGACTGAGAGTTGGTGTGACTGGGAGCTGGTGGGACTGGGAGTTCCACCAGCTGCTGGATAGACTGCAGCCCTGAAGGCTTTCACTCTGATGCAAGAGAGGCCTGTGCAGTGCTGCTGTAGGAAGCAGCAGGCCATGCCAAGGAGAGAGATCCTAGCAGCGAGGTCAAGTGCGCAGGCCTGCAGCTAGACTGCCTGCATGTGGGCCTGGGCTTAGCACCACCTGCTGGGTGACCTTGGGCAAGTACTTGAGCTTCTTGTCCCTTATTCTCCTCATCTGTAAAGTGGGGAGAATAATGACACTTATCCCACAGGATTGCTGTGAGGGTCAAATGAGTGAGTGAGCCTGAGTGTGAGACCTCTTAGACAATGACCTAGAACAGGTACAGGGTGGGGCAAAAGTAGGCTTGCAGTTGCCCTCATGTGCCCCCAGAGAGCATTGAGCTATAAATAAGATGGGATTTTCCTTCATTTTTTTAAATGGGAACTACTGTGGCTCTCTGGCTGCCCCTGGTATGTGTTGACACAGCGTTTAGTTGGCTCAACAGGATCTCTCTAAACATCAACAGAATTCAGCCTAAGAGAAGGAAGGGCTCTGAGATTTCAAAGTGATGAAGAGGCTGCTCCTGGGAGTCAGGAGCGGGTGGCCGGCCTGACCCTCAGGCTGCAGGGGAGGGTCTGAGTGTTGGCAGGGTTAGCTCCCTCCGGCCTTCAGGCCCCCACCCTTCCACCCCCCACACACCCTCACCCCCACCCCCACCCCCGCGCGAGCAGCATCAGAGCTCCTGAGCAGCTGAGTGGGAGAGGGCAGGGGAGGAATTAACCGATGGCATTTGCCTGTAGTTCATGGATCTGCTGTGAGCCAGTTAGTGAGGAGTCAGAGGGGACTCACGCATGTTCCCTGGCCACAGAGCACCCAGACAGGGGAGAGCACCCGGCAAAGGCCGCTCAGGACAGGAAGGGCCCTGCACCCTGACGATGGCCACGGCTCGCTCAGTGTGGCGAGGGAAGCCCGGCAGGCGGTGGGTTTGAAGCCAGGAGGCTCGGCGCCGCCCCTGTGCGAGGCCTAAGGGTGAGGATGCTGCATCGCAGGGGCCTGACCTCGGCCCTGCGAGTGCAAAGTACTGAGAGCTAGAAACCCACCCCGACTCAGAAGCCATGCCCGCTTGCTGTCACCCCAGACCCCAGGGAGGTAGGTCACTTCTGCCAGGAGGCAGGGACCTAGAAATGCCAGGCAGTGGAGAGGGAGGTG